AAAAAAAAAAAAAAAGATCATCTTGGTTTTTGTCTTAGGAGACATGAACGACTAGGCTTCCTCTCCAGGTGAAGAAACATACATCCTAACTGTTTCATTACTGTGGCAGGCGCCGTTTGCTGGCTAATCCCACAGATACCCTGCTATCCCCCTTCTCTCCTGCTGACTCTACTAGAGAAGCTGGAACCACTTTTCCAACCAGGGTGGGATGTGACACAATCCTGAGCAAACAGAAATAAGCAGTAGCTTCTCTTGATAAAAGGGACAGATCTAGCTGCTGGTAACCTGTCTTAATGAGGGATGTGATACTTGGAGCTGCAGCAGCCTCGTGAGACCACGAGGGAGAGATCAAGAGAAGGACAGAGGACTTGACCCTGATATCTTTAAGCCACTGAACTGGCTGTGGCCATCTGCAGTCTTTCCTGTTACGTGAGATAAACAAGACCAGCTTCTCCTGATCAGGTATTCTGTAAAACGCAGCAGGAAACATGTGACTGGCATGCATGTATCACTTCTGTTAGGCTTCATCATGAGTCTGTGATACAGATGAGACACCGTCAAGGTTAAGCAGCTTTCCTGGGCCACGTACATAGAAGGAGGCAAGCAGAGGATTTGAGCTCATGAAGGCTTGCATTGAAAAATCCAGCACTTTGCACAAAGTGACACTGGCCCTCACTCGGTTCCTGTCAGTACTCGTTTGCCCCTTTGACTTCTCACAGGGGGGAAAGCATTTTAAGAGAAAAGTGATATGTGTGTCTCTCTGGGAGGTTGTGGGACGTGTGTGCAGCCTCAAACCATCTCTCTTCATTTCAGAGAACACAGGCTACCCCTTTCTGGTTTAATCTGAGATGGACATTAGTGAGAAGAGTGGGCACGAAGGTAATCAGCAGAGGTGTCTCTGACAGTCTGGAGACAAGGCAGGACTGCGGGAGATGCTCAGAAATGCCACTCTCCAAAACAATGGAAAATTTCAAATGAAAACTCAAGCAAGTCAAAGACAGCTGGGGGGCGGCGGGACAAGGAGGAAGCTTGGGACAACCACAGCTACATTTACTCAGAGAGGCCAAAACCAAATGAAAAACCATGAGGAAGACATCGAGGAAGTGACTGCAGTCATCTGAAATGTGAAATGTGCTTTTGAGGATTTAACTCTAACAATCCATCTGCTTGTGTGGGCTGAGCTTTGGGGGGATGCCAAGCCCCTGCTTGCGAGCCACGGGGGCCGCGGCAGGGCTGAGAGCAGGAGGGCCGCAGCGAGGCTCAGCAAGCCCCCGTCCTGAGCACGACAGACCTCCCTGCTCCGGGGGACGGGTCCCGGAGGTCTCCATTCGGTCCAGGAAAGACCTGCCAGGATTCCGGATTTGGCTGCTTCTCTTACTGGGAACAGAAGCAGGAGCAAGCCTTCAGGGCCTGGGAGACAACGGGGTGAGATTCCCTGGTGATGTGCTGCAGCTTCTCCCGCCCCATCTGTGAAATGGGCTCATAACGCTTATCTTGCCTCCTTCCCAGGCTGAGAGGAGATGAAGTGAGGTAATAGTGAGAAGAATCGGAAGCCAACTTCTGTTTTCAGATTGTGTATGAAACACGTATAAAACCCGCTGTGATCCTTGCTCGACTTCTACCGGGTGGAGCTACACGGAATTGCCAACACTCAACTCTTTTGATATAAAAAATGGTAATTTCGCACGTAGAAACTAGTACTATTTCAACTGAAAAGCACTGGAAGGCATCACTGGGGTTCAGTAAATTTTTTATCAAGTCTACTCAGGGGAGAGGCACATTCTGTTTCCAAGGCTGTAAACCTTGGAAAGACCTACGTGCAAGAGTGTTCCAGATGCGTTTATTTACCTCTACTCTACCTTGCTCCAGAAAGGCTTAAAGAACATGCCAACTCAGAGTGTCACCTCGAACAGGAATGAAAGAAGAAAAGTGCGGGCAGAAAGAGGGCAGAGCCGGACGGAGGCTAAAGGGGCAGGAGCGAATGACCTAGTTCAGAGCTGGACTCCAATCTGGGTTTGAAGGGCTGCCATTTACACCACCTGTAGTATCCGTGAAAGGGAAACCGGTCAGAGAAGTGAAAGTGCCTGGGGTACTAAGTTCAGGCAGGAGCTCGTCCCGGAGGTCCTCCCGAGGGAGTGCGCTCCTTCCTTTCTGGTTTGACCCTTAATGAAGTCTGACGGCCCCTCTCCTGCTGGAGGTGTGGGAAGGGGACAGGCAAGTGTTAACCTGGCAGGTGACAGTCTGAGAAGCCCCAGGGAAGCTCCCGCCAGCAGAGTCCTACCGGGTCCCGTCAAGGTGGCTGATGATCAGGCCCCGTCCGTGGTCCGCCTGGGCGAGCTGCAGCAGCAGGGCCAGGCTCTGCTGGCGGACGATCAGAGCCCTGGCGGCCAGCAAGGACGGCAGCAGCCGGCCCACGTAGGGGTGCTGGAGTAGCAGGCGCTGGTTTTCCTCTGCAAGACAGGGGACGAGCACCTCGTGCACATGACAGCGGTTACACCACTTGTCTCTCCCACCATGCCACTGGGAGATCCAGGTCTCCCCCTCGTTTGAGAGGCAGGGTAATAAAGTGTCAGAGCACGAGCTCTAGAACCAGGCTGCTGGGTCCCGGTGACCAGGGGCACGATCGTGGCTGAGTCATGAACTCCCGTGCCCCTCAGCTTCCTCGTGGGTGAAACGAGGAAGGCGGCTGATGCGCTAGAGGTGTTAGCAGGGCTCAGGGAGTGAATACGAGCCGGTGCTTAGAACAGGGCTGGCTCACATGTGGGCGCCACGTGGCGTTATTCTTATGCTGCAAAAGGAGCTCACTGGAAACAATCCAAATAGCACAGGAGTACAAAGCTGACCATGAAGGTCCCCTCCTCTCGTGGCCCCTCCAGGTAAGCTCATTCCTTAAAGCAGCCCCCCCACCCCCACCTCTCCTGTGAATACTGTTGAAAATATGATCCACCCTACCCTGTCTCGGCTTCCCTCTCCCACTCAACAGCGTATCAGGGACAGAGTTCCATGTCTGTAACTTTATAAGCATCCCTGTGTCCTTTTGAAAATCTTCTTTGTATTCACTGAGTTGGACATACCCAGATTTCATGGATCTGACAGAGCATGTGCATCAGAGGCTGTGTGTGACCATGTTTGTTCTGATGTTAACGAAAAACGTGACCCCAAGGTTCACTGAAACCGAAGTCGGCGCAGGCTGAGGAAATCAGGGCTGCGGGGAGAGCGCTATGTCTGGTTCACCCGAGTAAAAGCTCGGTCACCAAGCCCTGCCTCCCTCCCCCTCATGTGTGTGGGGGGTACGAGATCACCACCCCGGGCCAGTGCAGAATCCCACAGGGCAGTGGGGCGCCCTGATAACCGCACTCGTCTGAGCCTGATTCCCTTCAGGAAAGGGTCCCCCTCATTCTCCAGTCCTCTGCAACTTAAGATGATTCCCTCACTCTACTAAATTGAGGGGAAAAGTCGTATCATCGCATATTCAGCCTGTTATAGTTTACGAATTGCCTCCAGGAGCTCTGTGGCTGGCTTCCCACAAGAGCCCTGTGACAAGGAGACCCAGATGCCACTCTCCCCATTTTCGGTGTTTTCCGTCCATGGTTGGGTCTTTCCCTATGAAAACATGACTTTTTTAAAATGAGGGAAATACTTACAATTTTTATTTACATTTACTACTTTACAAAAGGGGTAAGAGAGATTGTGCAGAAACTTAGTGAACCCCAGAAAATGCTAATATGCAGAAAGGTCAATAAGTGTGAACAAGGCCGATAAGCGTCGTGTAGCATCTACTGTCCCAGTATTACACTGATCGGTGTCATAAATAAGATGTCAGCAGGGACCATCATAAGTCTCCCGACACTGAAACGGGTACTGCGGTCAGCAAAAAGGAAGGACACGTTTAGGTGGACAGGACAGGAACAGCTCTGTCCACTGCGCTGCCATCGCCCAGGGGATGAGATGGCTCGTTCTGCTGACAGTGACTTTGCCCACCGTCAGGGCAGCTGTGAGGGAGGTACAGATGTGGCCGCAGCGCAGGCCTCGCTTCTGACCCCGATGCTCTCTGGGGGAAGGTCTGGACGTCACCTCCCTCGGGCCTGGCCTGCGGGGGAGACAGTCCTGCCCGCGCATATGTACCCACAGGCTATGGACAAGGGTTAACGGCGACGACCCGCACTTACCGTTCCCCGTGCACACTGCTTGCCAGAGCCTGAGGACAGACACGCACACCATCTCTTCCACTGCATCTTTTCCTGCCGTGGAAAAGCACCTAGAATGGATGAAGGACGGCAACGTTAAAACTGGAAAGTAGTCCTGACCTTCTTTTTGGCTGGCTTTAGCCCACCTCCAGACTCCTCCAGTGCGGGCGGGTTGAAGCAAGCAATGTTTTAACGCAGAGCCGCAGGTCACCAGGACCCGTGCGCTGGTCAGCACTGAACCAAGAGCTCCGGGACAGGGGTGCAGGCCGAGGAGGCGGGGCTGCATGGAGGGAGGCTGCTGAGCCAGGGCCACGGGCGACGGCCACATGCTGACCGATGATGTGGTGGGCCAGCAGCCTACGGAGGGCTCATGGGCCCCCATACACACCCAAACATGTGCTGGTGACCCCCACCCATGTCAGTGTCCTCCTAAGCCTGAGGATCCAGCGGATCTCGTTTCTTGATGTGATCAGCAAATTCCAAGAGAGGAAAAGAACAAATGGCAATCTTGCCCAAACTGATGGGAAACCAGAAAAAAGGGTCACTTCTCTGACTCTGCAGTGTCTGGAGGGACCCCGGGAAGCGTGGCTGACCTCTTCTCTCTCTGTGGTTAACTGTGGCCGAACTCAAACTAGCAGAGGCGCAAAGCCCCGCCCCTTGCCAGGGCCACCACCGCGGATTGAGGGACAGGACCAGCCACGGAAGCCACTGCCTGTGTGACCAGGGATCTTTCACGGGGGATTGGTTGTCCTTCCTTGCTCTACTGCTGGCTGTCTTTACAAACACCCCTACCTTCTTAGGACCTTATTCTCGCTGATGAGACTGAATCCGTTGTGTGTTCTGAATAAAGTTCGTTCTGTGCCTGGAATGAATTCATAAAAAACCACGTCAGACTCCTGAACGGTCTGGCTGACGTCTAGCCATAACAGAGCCAGCTGTTGATGAGAAACCCACTACGGAATGTCAAGCTCACCAAATTAACAGATTGGGCAGAAACAAATACCTTTACGTTCTGAAACCTACAGCTGTCATCAGCCACTTGTAGCCCCAGGGAGAGGGACATCCTGTTCTGAGAAGGGGAGCTGGGCCCGGGGGCCCTGTCGGTTATCTGACAACGCATCACTCTGTCATCTTTAGAGAGTCTCCAGGAGCTGTTCAACCTCCGGGAAGAACTAGCATATCCATCTGTTCTTAAATATTATTTTGAAGCTGCTTCTAGGCTCTAGAGAGGAACCTATACTCTCCAAGAAACTAGTGAAGGGGATATCTGAGCGTCCTCCATCCTACACTAGAGGGAGGTCAGAGATCCCATCTCTGCACACACAGCATCCTGTCACTGAGTACAGAGTGGTTGAATCCCTGATATCAATGTTTGTAAGAACCGGTAAAAAGAGAACGGTCTCACCAGCAGGAGAGCTGATATTTGCTCTGGAATGACTTACATGTCCTAAGAAGCCGTTACATGTAACTGGGGCGAACCATGCAGTTTATCTTACAAAATTCTGTCTTCCATTCCTCCGTGGTTGGGGTAGCTGTGTCAGGGTGGGATACGGTGTTGGGGGCATCCAGGGGGTATGCAGGGAAACCCAGAAGGTGTGCAGGCATGTGGACGATGTGTGGAGCACACGTGAGGGGTGATTATGTGTGGTGTGTGCATATGTGAGTTATATACATGTGGTGTATGTGGCCATGGGCGTACGGCGTGCGTATGTGTGTTCTGTGTTGCATTGTGTTTGGGGCGTCTACTGCGCATGTGCTGAGTGCACGCGTGCTCTGAGGGGAGGGTGGGGCCGGGGCGGGGGTATATCTCTTACGTGGCCTCTTCAGTCCTGACACTATAGCAGATCTTCAGTATGTGTGGAAGGAAGGGACATAGGGATTCTCTGCCTCCTCAGGACTGACTTCTACACTGTCCCTTTACACTATATATTCACGAGGTCATATGCATCTCGGGCTTACAATCCTGCATCATTTCAGTCAGGATTTCAATCCCCCCTGCGTAGAACAAGGGGGTCTGATCGGGCTTGCAAAGCGTCTCCAGGAGATTCTTGACTGTCACAGCTGTGTTCTTCCCCGAATCCAGCGATCTGTGGGCTTCCTTCTCTTGAAGGTCTGCTTTCTCCCGGAGATTTACTTGATTCAGGTAATCTACAAAACAAGAAGGAAAAGAAAAGAGAAACAAACAAAACCCTAACGGTCAACATCATGACACAAAGAGTCACCTTTGTTGAGGATGCGAGGTTGAGAGGCGTGAAGCATTACAATCATTCAAACTTGGCTTCAGCAGGGAAAATTTTAGGAAGGGTGTACAGTCTATGCCCAGGATTTTAAACCATCTTCGGGATTCAAGGACAACATTATGCCCTGCCTAGAAGGCTCTAAGGGACGATGGTGTAGAAAGGAGGAAGGCAGAGGTCTGAGTGGGAGAACAGAGAGGAAAGAGGAGCGGGCAGCCTGCTAACAGAGAGGGTTTGATGTGGCTTTGAGGCCAAGTGCGGAGAAGGTATGGGAGGCCAAGTGCAGAGAAGGTATGTGCCGGAGCACAAAGCGAAAGTGGACTTCAAACGAAGGACACCAGCAGGAACATCCTCACCTTTCACCTGGGTCTGAAGCTGGGGGTTTATTTCTAAGATCTTCTGATAACACTCTCTAGCCTGGAAAAAAGAAACAAGACCTTGAAGGGTGGTCAGGGGGTGAAGGTGATTATAGGAAAGACACCAGGCACCACGGGGCTGGGCTTCATTATTTCCTCCCAGCCTCCTCCCGATCCCAGCGTAGGAGGCAGGCAGGGGGAATGCAGCATGCATTTGACATTTTGTTTAGGCTTCTCTGGTTCTGTGGGGCAAGAGGCATTATTTCAGAACTTATTTTTAAAAAATAGTGTTATCAGATCCAGCCTGTGATGGAAAAATATCCAGTCCTAAATTCTCGTGGATCATGCCTGGCTGGTATAGGAATAATCATAAGGTGATTGCAAAATTTAGATATGATATTTGCACTGAGAGAGAACAGGAGGCTACTTGTCAGATATGCCCACAAGGAGTCGGGAAATAAATGAAGCTGGAGACACTGTTGACAGAGACTTTTGGGAACAGGAAAAGCGAAGTGCCTATGTAAATACACAGGGCTGCAAAGAGAGCCTATAAGGGGTCCATTCACTGGCCATATATGACTTGCAAGAAAACTTGAGAGTGAGGGCCTCTCCATGAGGAAAGTGCTGGAAAGTTTCTGAAAAAAAGGAAGATTCTAGCTTGTGGGGCATGTTACTGGGTTTTGAGCAGTACTGTCCTCAGGGGTATTAAGAACTCTGCCCAGTCACTGAGAAAAAAAAGCACAGTAAAAAATGGCTCTCAGCTGTCCTGAAAGCTCAAGGCTCATCCAAAAGATTAGGATTAAAAAATGAATGGAAGAAAAAAACATCACATAAAAGAGACTAGTGTTGCGGGACAGAGGTATACACATCAAACATGGTAACTGCTATAGACTGTTTGTGTCCCCCCCTCCCCCAAATTCCTATGGTGGAACCTAACCCCCAATGTGATGTACTTGGAGGTGGGGCTTTGGGGAGGTAATTAGATCATCAGGGTGGAGCGCTCATGAGATTTGTGTCCTTATCAAAGAGAACCCAGGGACCTCTCTTAACCCTTCTGGCTATCTGTGAACCAGGAGGCAGTTCTCACCACACACCAATCTGCTGGTGTCTTGATCTTGGACTTTTCAGCCACCAGAGCTGTGAGAACTAAATGTTTGCTGTTTAAGCCACCTGGTCTCTGGTAGTTCTTAGAGCAGCTCAAAAGGATGAGGGCAGTGAACCTGTATCCAACTCCTTTTGAACCCTAGATCTAGTCTATTGGCAATTCCTGTTGGCTTCACTGTCAGTATATATCCAGAATCCCATCATTTCTCACCACCTCCCTCAACACCAACTTGGTTCAAGGCATCATTACACCTCACTTGGAAAGTCTGTTGCAATAGCCTTCTAACTAGTTCTCTGTTCTTTGTCTACTATGTCAAGATATATTCTCAATGCAGCAGTGATCCTTTAAAACATGAGTCACATCATTTCACCCCTTCACTCAAAATCCTCCAATGGCTCCCAGTTCACTCAAAGTAAAAGCCAAAGTACTTCCAAAAGCCTGTAAGTCTGTAGGGAATCAGTCCCTTACCATACCGCCATCGTCTCCCTGACCTCATCACCTATCATTCTTCTCTAGCTGACCCTCTGACTGGACGGCTCCTTCATTATACAGCCACATGGCTTCCTCACTTCACTCCCTCCCTTCCTGCAGAGAAGCCTTCCCTGACCACTCCTTATAAAACTAATCTCACCTTCGCTGCTTCCTGATTTCGTTTTCTCAATAACACTTATCACTAACCAACATACTACACATCTACTTATGTGGTTCCTGTCTCCCGGCCACTTCTATTCCAAGAATGTAACTACCATTAAGTCAAGGATTTTGTCTTGTTTGCTACTGTATTCTTATTGTCTAGGGTAGTGCCAGAAACATAGAAAGTATGCATACATATTCACTGAGTGAATTAATTACCTGAATGAATGAATGAATGAATAGAATTTGGTGGCGAGGGGAGGGTTAACATTTTCTTTTTTCACTTTTCTATTATTTGACCTTAGTACAATAGGCCTGTATTACTTTTAGAATTAAAATCCAATGAAGAAAATAATTTTTTTAATGTATAATAAGAGGCAATTTCTTTTTTAAAATACAGTATCTTATAAGTGGAAAGACATCCCATGTTCATGGATTTGAAAGCTTAATATATTAAGATGGCAATACTTCCCAAACTGACCTACAGATTTAATGTAATCCCCATCAAAATTCCATCTGGCTTCTTTGCAGAAATTGACAAGCTGACCCTAAAATTTGTATGGTAATTCAAGGGACCTAGAATAAGTAAAACAATCTTGAAAAGGTAGAGCAAAGCTAGAAGACTCACACTTCCCAATTTCAAAATTTACTACAAAGCTATAGGAATCAGGACAATGTGGTATAGACATAAGAATAGACATATAGATCAATGGAATAAAACTGAGAGTCCAGGAATAAACCCATGCATTTATGATCAATTGATTTTTGACAAAGGTGCCAAAATTATTCAATGGGAGACAGAATAGTCATTTTAACAAACGGTGCTGGGAACACTGGATATCCACATACAAAAGAATGAAATTACATCCCTTCCTCACACCATATGCAAAAACTAACTCAAAGTGGTTCAGAGATCTAAATATAAGAGCTAAAGCCATAAAACAGAACAAAACACAGAAGTAAATCTTGGATTAGGCAATGGTTTCTTGATATGACACCAAAAGTAGAAGCAATCAAAGAAAAAATAAATAATTTAGGCTTCATCAAAATTAAAAATTTTTTGTGCTACAAAGAACACAGTCAAGGAAGTGAAAGGGCAACACAGATAGTGAAAAAAAATATTTGAAAATCACTTGTCTGATAAGGGACTTGTATCCAGAACATATAAAGTACTGTTTACTTAATATAAAAATGCAAATAACCTAATAAAAAAATAGGCAAAGGATCTGAGGAGACATTTCTCCAAAGAAGATACACAAACAGCCAACAAGCCACAAGAAAACAGACTCAACATCACTAGCCATCAAGGAAATGCAAATCAAAACAACGAGTTATGCTTCACACGCACTAGGATGGCTGTAATCAAGAAGAGGTAAGTATTGCCCAGGATGTGGAGAAACTGAAACCATATACGGTGGGTGGGCATGTAAAATGGTTCAGCCACTTGGGAAAACACCTTGGCAGTTCCTCCAGAGTTAAACATACAGTTACCATAGGACTCAGCGGTTCCACTCCTGGGTATATACTCAAGAGGACTGTACACACGTCCACACAAGAACTTGTACGTGGATGTTCGTAATAGCCCTAATGTTCGTCAACTGAGGAAAGGATAAATAAAATGCAGAATATCGATACAACGGAATATTATTCAGCAATAAAAGGAATGAAGTACCGATAGATGCTACAACATGGATGAGCCCTAAAAACATTATGCTAAGTGAAAGAGACCAACCACAAAAGACTATATCTTGTGTAATACTATTTATAGGAAGAGTCTAGAATACACAAATGCATAGAGACAGAAGTAGATTAGCGGGTGCCTCGGGTTGAGGTGGGGGTGGAGGGAAGCAGAGTACTACCAATGGGTATAGGGCTTTTGGGGAGGTGACAAAAATGTTCTAAAGCTGTGTATGATGATGGTTGCACGTCTCTGTGAATATAGGAAAACCCACTGAACTGTACACTTTCCACAGATGAACTGTTTGGTATGTGAATGATATCTCTCAGCAAAGCTGCTGTTAACAATATATAATATCTCAGTGTGTAAATGTATCTGCATGGTTACTTTTGGGTGGTGAGATTATAAGTGAATTTTGTGTTCGTCTCTCCGGAGATGCTCCTCCTGGGGCCGACAGAACACTGGTAGAAGATACTGCAGAAGGGATTCCCAGAGCAGGTGGGGCTGTCCTGGACGACACTCAACATCCTTCCCAACTCAAAGATCTGAAGAGTTACCTTGGAAAATTCTAAAAGGTGGATTAGTTCCTAATCAACTTTGGAGGAACATGGTCCTTCTCTGAGGTGATCTGAAGCATCGTTCTGTGATCACACATTCCCTTCCATTCCTCTCAGAACTTACCACACTGTAGTTCTTCAGGGCCAGGTGGGCTTTTCCCATGTGGAAATACGCTTTTGTGCATTTTTCATCACACTGCGTAAAAGAGAATGACTGATCAGATGTTTCAGAAGGTTTGAAGTCATTAGCCACTCCCCTAACTGCCTAGCTAATAGAGGGAAGGCAGAACTCGTGTTCTCAGGACAGCTACCAGGGTTGACAATTAAAACTTTTCTGTGCATATGTAGCCAAACTAATTGAAGCCTGCAAGGAGCTCTCTATCAAATTAATTAATGATACTTGCCAGTTTTCATTTCCATTTAATGAGACTCAATCAGGAGACAAACCAGAAACCCTTAGTTGAGAAGAGCTCTTGACCTCACCCAAATATGAGAATCACCGGGGATGCTTACCAAAACCTGGAAGGCCACGCTGAACCCCATACCAACTAAAACTTATACTCTGGGGTACGGCCCAGGCATCAATAATTTTGTAAGATCCCCAGGAGACATAAGCACGCAGCCAAGCTTAAGGACCATTGGTTTATCAGAAGAGAGGAACATTTACTCTGGGTAAAGAGCTGAGGTCACTGTGACATCTTAGTGGGCCTCGCAAGCTCCTTCCCTGAAATAAACCACACCACATACCCCGGGAACTTACGTTCTTGTCACTGAAGATCAGGAGGGATGCCCCCATCAGAAGGCAGGATCAAAACTTAGGTGAGGCCACAGCCTTTGCACGGGGGGCCCTGCACCTGCCTGCCCCTAATTATTACCACTCCAGAGAGACTGACTGACTTCGCACAATGATGCCGACTACAACTTCTAACATCCAGTTAAGTAAGCGAACCCTTCTATGTGAGAGGCATTGTGCGGGGATGCCCTCCGAGGGTCTAGAGTGCAAGCTAGTCTAAAAAGTCCTGGGTGAATTCCTGGCTTGCTTCTCCCCAGAAGTGGGACGCTGGCCAGAACAGCAGCAATCCAGAGTAAAGGGGGCGACGGAAAGAAAAGACAGACGGTGGTAGAAGAGGCAGCGATGACTGTCCTACGTGGAGAGGCCTTTACAGGTGCATCTTCGTGAGCGTCATTTCCCGACGCGCTGCTAAGTGAACGACAGTAATGACAACAGGACCTTACCCTTGCCATGCGGGTCGTACGAATTATCTCATATAAGCCTTAGAACAACTCCATGAAATCGATGCCATTATTATCCCCACTGCACAGATGAGGAAACTAGGGGCTGGAGGGGGCAGAGCTGGGATCTAGAATCTGGCCATCTGACTCCAGGCCCCAAAGGCTACAAACTATACCAATTCTCCTTCAGAAAAGTGCGATAGCAGTCGAGGAGAGGGAAATCCACTGTGAAGCAGCACGGTTTAACAAAGGGCGTGCAGACTACGGGTTTGAGCTGGGTCTCCAAGGATATGGAGAGGTGAAGAGAGAAGGAAGGAGGGAGAATGGGCTGAGCAAGGTCCGGGGATGGGCGGGGACAGGGGGCTTCTGGCCAGGCCAAGGGGCAAGAGCGGGGCAGAGGAGGGTCAGCCTGGACGGGGCAAGCAAGACAGTGGTTCCATGAGGAGGTCTCGGACGCCAGGCTGCGGGAGATGAATGAACAGCATGGGTGCAAGGAAGTTGCTCCGGAGGCAGTACGCAGAACTGGCTAGAGGCGGGAAAGGCAGGGGGACAAGTGAGGGAAGTGAAGCAGTGCTGCAGAATGAAGGGCTAGCCTCTGTCCAGTGGTGGACCGAGGAGAGGAGACAGGAGCTCCGAGGGAGAAGCGGCAGAGAGAAGAAAGGCAGGGAGCCGGGGAGTGAGCTCTGGAGAATCCACAAACAATGAGGTCGAGGGGGCAGGAAAGGAATGGTCCAAAGGAAAGGAAATGCCAGTGCAGTGGCCCATGAAAGCCAAATGTCCCCTGGCCCTTTGCTGGCAGAGCATCAGGGTTACACCAGGGGGCAGAACAAGCAGGGGGCCTCAGAGTCCCCTGTGCGCTGGGACTCCGCCCGCCTTGGATGCTGACACAGAGGGGGCCAGATGGATGTCTCACTGCCCAGCCCGTCTCCTTTGATCATGTGTCAGTGCTCACCAGGATTTTCTCAGGTGAGCCCCAGATCCCCCTAAAAGGAGTCCGGTTTTCAGAGAAAGGTGGATTTTGTCGTGCAGAAAGAGTTCTGCCAGGAAAGAAAGACTCTGATCCTAATTGAAAGCAGCTTCGCTGCCTCATCTTCCCTGACAAGGAACATCAGTCTTGAACTATCATTATATGAGCTTGTCTCTACCCATTCAAAAGTGTCAAAAATATTAAATTGGCATCAAAGTACTCAGACTATTAATAACGGAATACCACTGACATGCATTATTGATGTTACGTTTAAAGAGAGTGAAACTTTTACATTCGTGGTTCTGACACAGAGCCAACCACTGTTAGTTTTGAGAGCTCCGTATACATTTTCCCCTATCCCTCCAAGTGGTTCCCCAAGCTTCTTCAATGGGGAGCCTCGCGGGGCATTCCTCAAGACTGCCTGCTGAGGGTCAGAGTTTTTTAATGTCAGCTTTGTTGGGCCTGCTCTGCTTTGGTCTCACTGCTAATTATTACACTGTGCTTCGTTTAACATCTGGGAAGAGGCCAGCATGTCATCCTGAGTCGGCATGAAGACGGTGTGACTACTTCTTGGGCCCTTTTCAGATCAGAACAGATACTCCTGGAAGCCCCACGGAAGGGAACCAGATCCACACCCAGGGATTGTGGGGTTTCAGGTTCCGGTGGAGAAGCTGTACAGAGGAGAGGATTCAGAGTACTGGTTTAGCTTGGACCAACGTTAGCTATGTGATCCTGCACGGTTACTTAATTAATCTCCGAGGCTTGGTTTCCTTGCCAGAAAAATAAGGATAACGGTGGTATCGAAGAGAACAGAACAGAAAGTTGTAAGGCTCACGGCCAGCACGCAGCAAACCGTGGCTTGTGCTGTTATTGTTGGAAAACGTCCTGGCCTCTCGCTTCTCTTACGGAATGGTAGAGAAAATAGCATGATCACATAAAGCGACAAAGCAGGTTGGGGGACCTATGCTGGGGCTGTGAAGAACCTGATGTCATCAGCTGTGGGCAGTTCTTGTAACTTTAAGACTGTAACGATGTGATGGGACAGGTTTTGTGGACATTCTGTTATCTTCTAAGGGATAAGGAAATCATGCACCCCCACACGTCCATTTTGGAGGATTCCTAGTGTTTTATAAACCATTATTAGCAAGGTGAGTTCCTAATTCACCCCAGTTTCCCTTGCTTACCCTCTCAGTAAGAAATAAGGGAGCTGTAGCCAATATGCTGCTGTCGAAGTGTGCTCTTACTCTGGGCCACGTTCGTTATGCTGGGGTGGGGGTGCTGTGCTGGAGGGATCCGGGCCATAAGATAAACCTGGCATGTTCTCCTGGCACTTCAGTTTTACTTGATCATAAGTGATTGAAAATAACATGGCGATATTAAGAGATAAACTCCATGGAGTGCAATACAAAACTTGCAAGGATTTTTCAGATAAAACACATCTCTAACAAGAAATGTCATGCTCTCCGCTTCTAGACCCTGCAGGGGCTCACGTTCGCTCCGTCAGCAGCTCTTCGGTGAGGAAGTCTGAGAAACACTGCCTTGGTTCTCTTCAGTGAGAGCCCCTGTGACAGAGGGCCTTCGCAGAAAGGGAGAGGAAGACTTATTTAAATATTTAATTACCCGAAATACTGTCTCTAAGAAGCGATCATGACATTTCTCTTTTAAAAACTCTTGTACTATTTCCACCAACGGCCCTTACTTCTCCTCACTTTAAATGATCTCCCTGGGCAGATTTCAGAGGAAACGCCGTGCACAGCGTTAGGAGATCTGCCCGAGCCCTGACTGGTAGTCTCCGGGCTGAACGACAGGAATTCTGATTATTCCTCCACGAATATGCCAGATTACTAGAGCTGGAGGAAAAGCACAAACTGATGGGGAAAGACCGCACCACTGCAGAAACCCGTTCCCATGGCTGGTTCTAGAAACAGAAGGAGGCATTGCCACTGCCACAGGAAGGAGAGTGGCTGGTGACACAGCAGCAGAGGATGAGCCCTTGCAATATAAATCCTGAAAACGCAGCACGGAAGGCCACTTCTCTGGAGTGCTGACTACGAGCTTGGTGCTTCACACGCATCACCGTGACCCCTAAAACAATCTATGGATCCCACGTTATAGATAAGGAAGGTCAGGGCCTGACTGCAGAGCTCAGAGCCTGGCCCACCACGAAACACTGTCCACTCTCCTGCGTTCACTTCAGGACCCAGATGCCCGGCCTGGCGAGCCCAACTCCATCACGTGGAAAAGGCTCTCTCTTCTCACCTTCAGAGCCCACTCACAATCCACGACTGCCTTCTGGTAGTCCCCGAGTTTTAGATAAGCCTGCAATGACATAAAAGGGCTGTATTCATATGTAATTCTGCGGCACGCGGTCCTCAGTTAACAGTGTAACCAACGGGAATGTTAGAGAACCCCAGGGCTAGCAACCGTGGCAACCAGCACCACTGCGAGGACCGAAGGGGCAGGACGAGCCACTGACAAACGGGAGAGGACAGCTTTGTGAACGCACTGCCAAGCTGGAGCTGACGCCTTTAGGAGAGCTGCAGGTGGGAGAATAAATAGCCCCACTCTCACTTTCTTCCTTCCTTCTGATCTCACTGGCTGAGCCCAGATGCAATCTAGGAAGCCAGGAAGTCAGGGGGCAGGTCCACAGAGGTCAGTCCCCAGAAGACAGGGCAGAGAAGGATCTGGAAAGGCAAAAGAAAATACCTAGCACACTAAACCCATCCACAAAGCAAGAGCCAGCTTCTAGAGTCTACCCCATTGCGGATGTTCCAGAAGGAGATCAAATGATAAAGGAAATAAAAAAAAGATAACAGGAAACGTTGGAGAGAGTGTAGAAAAATCAGCACTTGCAGACACAGCTGGTGGGAAGGTACAGTGATGCAGCCACTTTGGTAGACAGTCTGGCAGTTCTTCAAAGGGTTAAACAGAGTTGCCATATGATCCAGCCACTCCTCGGTGTATCCATATGTGCACATAAAAACTTCTGTACAAATGCTCATAGCAGCATTATTCATAATAGCCAAAAAGCAGAAATAGCTCAAATGTCCAACAACTGATAAATGGATAAATAAAATGTGGTCCATCCGTACAATGGTGTATTATTTGGCCATAAAAAAGAACGAAGCACTGATACATCCTACAACATGGATGAGCCTTGAAAGAATTTACAAGAAAGAAGCCAGACACAAAAGGAAAAATACTGCATGACTTCATTTATATGAAATGTCCAGGATAGGCAAACGTATGGAGACAGAAAGTCGACACGTGGTGGCCTAAGGCTGAGGGTAGGGGTGGACGGGAGGACTGGGGCAGGGGGACCACTTAAAGGGTATGGGGTGTCTTTTTGGGATCATGAAAATGTTCTAGAATTGGTTATGGCGACGGTTGCACAGCTCTGTGAATATACTAAAAACCAATGAATTGTTTACTTTAAATGGGCAAAATGCATGTCATGTCAATTATATCTCAATAAAGCTTCTACTCAAAAAAGATAAAGTTCTGCTGCTTTCCTCGTAAGCACAGCAAGAAGGAAGCGATGTAGGTGATGGGCTGACATTTAAGAGTCAGACCACCAATATGATCCATCGCTGCCTAAAGACCTGGTGGCCTCTTTTGGGATTCCCCTAGAATGGGGGAAAATCTTGAAAATCAAGAATTGATTCAGAATGCTGGGATCCACTCAATGTACACTGAAGAACTCGTGGCACAGAGAGTAACGGAGGGCTGTCTACCAGCAAGCAGAGTGGCTACTCCACCTCTGAGTGAATTACTGATCACAACAGGCGGTCAATACATCCCTTATCAAGTTGAACTAAATAGACTTTAAGCACCCTTCTTTTGGAAAGGTCCCAGGAAGCAGCAATGATCACTCTGGTGTGAAAAAGGAAAACCAGGCACCTGGAGGATAAGAGGTTTTCCCAGAGTCCCCACAGTCACCCCAACTAGAGCCAATACACGTGTAGGTGTTCCCCTGATCAAAACTGTCCCAGGGCACTGTGACATTCTTAGCCAAAATTCTGCTGAGATATTTACATGGTCAAGCCAATCATGGGGTCAGTGTTGTAACTCACAGGGGATCTAAGCATCCATCCCAAGCGAGCAGGGGGCAGGCACTAGCCGGCTAACCAAGTCCAAGTCCTTCCAAGAAAGGAAGCTGCCCTGTGGTGCTTTCATTAACTCAGGTTTTGTACTAATTAAGGAGGATGGCGCCATGAACTGTTCCATAAAGCCCCATCCTTTCCCCCCAGGGTTTGGGGTTTCATCTGTAAGTCAGAGGATGTGAGGCGGAGACTAGCATCCTTTTAGACAAACAAACGAAGCCACAATTCCCTCACATTGTTACTCAGGAGACATACAGACTCTGAAAATGCATACGTGGGCTTCAACAATTTGTCTACACAGCCTTTTACTTTTTCTTTTCTTCCTTTTGGTTTTTTTTTTTTTTTTTAAGGCTTGGATTCAACACCCTATAAATTCCCTGTTCTCTTTTGCTTTTCCACATTTTAAAAAGAACTACTTTTCCAAATGGCAATTAAACTCCTGATTTATCTAAATTACACCAGCAATCTATTGATCATAACATTAACTCCAGGAAAAAAACAGAGTGATGAAACGGTAGGTTTTTTTCTCTAGCAAGCAGCAACACTCAATTCACAGGGTCCTTATTAAGTGTTTTCTAACACTGCATGCAAACAGGGGCAGCATTTTAAAAATAGTCAAGGGTGATTTGGTGGTTCGTAACAGCACACTTTGTATTTATTTGTCTCTGAATAAACTTTCTCTTCGGGAAAGCTGGGAAGAATCACTTCCCCAAAGCTTTTCATTACATTTGCTTATTTTTATCCACACCCATTCTTAATGTGATTCTCCAGAACCTAATCAAAGTGCTACTGAAACTTGCTGCTTACAGTAAGTATGTAACTAATTTAGATGGATCGGGGTACAAACCATCTGAATTAGATGGAAGTCTGAATTACATAACATTTTAAAAGCAATTCAATTCTACTACTTTCAAATACCTTCAAAGTAACAAGACTGAAAAAGCATCAGTAGGTAAATGTTTTGGAGACCAAATCTGGTGAAAAGTAAAAAGGAATTATAATTATTATATTAATTGCTTGCATTTGAATGTTCCTTTCAAAGTGTCAACAGAAACTTAATTCACTTAAATGGACTGATTGTTCCTCTAGTGTTATGTAACTTAAGAGGATTTATTAAACATCTATTATAAATAAAGCGTTGGTGGGGGGGGAGTAAATGGAAAAGTTTATAATCTCATTAGGGTGATGAAATGCACACCGCTAGGCCAACCTCTGGCCATTTTATTTATCAAACTCACTCCCCTCTATCAATTTTCCTCCAGAAATGGGGCTAAGTGGTGCCTCAACTCTAGTCTGATTTACCCAAACCACTGAACTATTGAGGTTACACTGTGCTTGGACTTATTTATCATTAAATCACCACCACTCCCCAGACTTTTTGGCCTCCAAACGTCCTGTTTCTTGCTTTCGACGTTCTTTCAACCTCTCACAGCAGGACATTCTTGATCCTGAGTTACAGAAATTGGAGCTGATGAGAGTTCCTCCTGTCAATGACACGGTGTCAAGTGCAGCTCACACAGGTCCTGCTGATGTCTCCTGACCATCGGATAATCATGCCCATGGATCGGCCACTTTGTCAGGTCTAAGCTACAGGGAGCTCTGCCACACACAGGCTCAAGTGCTTTTAAAGATAAGGCCACACGTGATGTTTTTGTTTCAACTGAGAACTACCAACCTTGTCCCTTCATTAAGTAGTAGATGATAAACATCTGCGTGATGGTTTTTACCTGGTGTCCCACGAAACAGAGCTCATCTGTGATATAAAACGGAGGTATAAGGGAGTTCAGAAACTCAACATTTCTGAGAAATCGGGTCTAGGCCCATCAGCTATCCAGCCGACTCAGGTCACAGAATCTTACTCCAACAGGGACCGATCCAATGAGTAAGAAGTAACCCTGAGGAGTTCAGGCTACCAGCCAAAGAGGGCTGGCCAAACCCAGCGATGGCAGAATCGGTTCTCATAGGTTGTTTCACTCAGTCGCTTTACCCTCAGTGATATGCGGGAGCTGACTTACACTGCACAGGAACTGCTTATGTGTAGCTCTTCCCAAGTCCTCCTCCCGTCATCGCAAGTTGGTGGCTTGAAATTGGACCACGGTGAGAGCACTGACACCATGGAAAGTGGCAAATGGCCCCTGGAGATCAGCTTCCCCCACCCCCCACCAGAGTCGGCTGCCAAACACCGACGGGCAGACCACTGCTAGCATCTGGTCTCATCTTTGGTTTCACAAGTTCCATGGCTGCTGTCCCCTACGAAAACGCCACAGACACAGTGTTGGCCCACTGACCTGGGCCCGGTTGGTGTAGAGCACCTTCATGTCCTTCAGCTTGTCCAGACCCTCACTGTAGCACACGATGGCCGCTTCGTAGTCGCCTCTGGCAAAGGCTTCATTCCCCTTTGCTTTCAGGGCTGGGAGAACAGAAGTCACAGGTGAGCTCTCCCCACACACTGGAAAATTCTCTCACTTTATTCCCCTGACTTTGCAGTTCCACTTTGGAGGTCAGAGCCTCCATCAGTCCAAAGGAGACCTGTCACTTACTTCTCTGCAGACATTTTACGATCAGCCTCCTTAAGGGCTTCTTTTCCTTCCAAACCCATCCCAAGTCGCCCAAGTAGCTTCTCAGAAAAAGCAAATGTTTCTGTTGCAAAACTCAGAACCTCTCCAAGCGTGCCACAAAGACCAAGTCTATACACTGAACGTCTCAGAGAGAGGGCCAAACCAGTCACTTTCTAGCACACGTTGGAAGCGGTCAGACCTGCAGCACGCCCACCGCTGGGGGGCGCGCAAGTGCCGGACGCATCCTGCGCATGCGCCGCCCCCGCCACGCGCACAAACCCGTGTCTCTCCCTTCGTCTCTCCTCTCCCTTCTCACGTCGGTTTTCTCGTTTCGTTTTTCGTTTTCACTTTTTCGTCTGTGCCTCAGGCCAGCCCACGGTACCTCCCGCTTCCGTCCCTCCCTCCTGTCCGAAGATCGCTCAGGACGCTCAGTCTGATCTGCTCAGTCCGTCCATACGCTTTAGAAAGCGGCCTGGCGGCGGCGGTCACACAACGCCCCGTCCTGCTCCCGGCCTGCGGCCGCGGGGACACGGACAGACACCACTGCCTGGCCGGGTTCCGCTGCCTCGAGCCCGCTACGAACCCCCTGACTGGGGATCTCGCTGTCCTCAGGTATCAGCAGGCACACTCACGATCTTTCTAGCACCCATCATCCCAGCTCTTGTAAAGTGAAGACTGACAGTTACCATCTGCTAAGACTTTGTTTTCCTTTCTTCTCCTGGCACGTTCTTTTGCATCCAACTCCACAGATGCCAAGAAGGCTTCTGACAGCAGAGTAATTTCAAGTATTTAAGAGAAAAATCCAAATACTATAATCAGTTCTTTAGCTCAAATTCAGAAGAAAGCTTCTTCAGAGCTTTAGAGCCACACATCTCATGCATACATATGTAGGCACGCGCGCACACGCGCGCGCGTACACGCACACACACACACACACACTCTGAAGCAACTAAATGACATTTTCTTAATTTGACATTCAATGGTAATCTGTGTGATGTATTATTATACATGATGGCTATGTCTGTGCTTCAAATTTGAATTATGTCTTTTAAAAGAGTTTTTCTTTAAAGGCAGACTTTTTTGTTCCGTTTAGCATAATGAGCTTCTGAGCTGGGCAACAGAGAAGCTACCTAGATCCCTTGAGCAGCTAAGAGTAAACTGGATGATACAGAATTACTGAATTCAATTTACAAACAACTGGCCGGGAGAAAATAGAGGAAAGCCTTTGAGTGCTGTCCCCTCTGACTAGTAAGAGAATTGGCTGATCCGTAGGTTTCTGTTCATGGGTGGTTTGTCAGCCCAGAGGCTATAATTTAAGGGTCTGGAAGCTACAGTCAATAAACACAGATTCTAAATAAATAATACACATTAGGAAGAGAGATGCTGTCCTTACCTGAGTTTATCTCATCTGCATTCTGCAGGGCACAGGTTATCATGAAAACAACAAAAAAAACCAAATTTCAAAAACCACTCTCTGATTTATAAGTGTACGAACCAAGAAGGCAGATCCATTACAAGTGGGGAGTAGGGTCATTTCCTCTAACCATCAATACTGAAGGGTCCAAAATTCACAGGGCCTGCTTTAAATCAGGAGATATGATTATGGGTACAGTTGTTTTGGGGTGAGCAGGTCAAGGGACCCCAACTATGGCTGTATGAGTTGGAAATCTGAGGCAGAACATATTACCTTTACAGTACAGCTTAAATATTGGTCACAAACTCAGGGGTTGGGGAGGCCAAATTTTCATTAAAATAAACCCATTGTTTAAAGATGACTCAGAAAGACAAAGAAAAAAAAATCAGAGTTTATACTTCTTTTTGGAAAATAAATCTAGTGAATCTAAAAAACAAAAGACTACTTCAGCCTCCCCAGACAGTTTGAGATTAAACTACCACTTCCTCTCCTTCAAGGCAGCCCTCTTCTCTGTATCTACTTATAGAACTCTGTAATAGAAAAAGAAACCTCCGTAGGAGCTTGCGGAGGACTGATCATGGTCTTATTCAGGGTGGTCCGGCATCCGTCCTCCTCTTGGACTTCCTCTGTAAACAGTAGTCTCTTTTCTGTCTCCAGGATAGCTTTCTGTTGTACAAGCGGGTCATCAGAATTCATCTCCTGGATTAAGCTGGCTGGAGGAGAAATCAAATGTGAATCATTCGAATGAGGTTTTCAAAAGGAAAGACTCCACTTACTAGAAAGAAAGGTGTAGAACATTCATGGAGAACTTTTGTTTCTCTGGCTTTGTTGAGATATGATTGACATACAACATTGTGTAAGTTAAAGGCACACAAGTGTGATGATTTGATTCACATGTCTATTGTGAAGTGATCCCACAATAAAGTTAGTTAGCTCATCCACCTCCTCATGTAATCACAATATTTGTGTATGTGGTGAGAATATTTAAGATCTATTCTCTTATTAACTTTCAAGTATAAAATACAATATTTTGTAAAGATTTATTTATTTTAGAGAGCGAGCGATTATGGGGGGAGAGAGAGAGAGAATCCTAAGCAGACTGAGCGCTGACTGTGAAGCCTGACACAGGTCTCGATCTCATGACCCTGAGATCACAACCTGACCAAAAACCAAGAGCCGGACGCTTAAATGAATACACCACCCAGGTGCCCCAGTATACAGTATTAACTAGAGTCACCATGTTGTACATTAGACCCCCTGAATGTACTCATTTTATAACTGAAGTTCATACGCTTTGACCAACATCTCCCCATTTCTTTCTTTTCCCTCCAGTCTCATTGAGAGGTAACTGACACATCACTTGTCTAAGTTTTAGGCATACTGCATGATGGTCTGATTTACATGTGTTGTGAAATGATTACAATAGGTTCAGCTAACATCCATCTTTTCTTACAGATAGGATTAAAAGGAAAAAAAAAGGGAAAAAGTTCTCCCCTTGTGATGAGAACTCTCAGGATTTACTTTTTTGACAACTTTCCTGTCTATCCCACAGCAGCATCAGCTGTAGTCATTGGGTTGTGCATCACATCCCGGGTACTTACTTATAACGACCTTTGTGCCTTTTGACCACCTCCCTCCAATTGCCCCTGCCCCACCTTCAGCCTCTGGTAACCACACAAGTCTGATTTCTTTATGAATTTTTTTTAGATTCCACATATAAATGAGATCATATAAGTATTTGTCTTCTCTGACTTATTTCACTTAGCACAATGCTTTTGAGGTCCATCCATGTTGTCACAAATGGTAGGATTTCCCCATTTTTTATGAATGAATGATATTCCATTGTTTATATGCACCACAACTTCATTACGTGTTCATTCATTGATGGACACTTAAGTGTTTTCATGTCTCGGCTACTGTAAATAATGTTGCTATGACCCTGGGGGTGCAGAAATCCTTTTCCAGATAGTGCTTCCATTTCCTTCGGATATACTCCCAGAAGTGGAATTACTGGATTGTAGGGTAGCTCTATTTTTAATTTTTGGAGGAACCTCCACACGGTTTTCCACAGTGGCTGCACCCATTTGCATTCCCCCCCACCATGCACAGGGCTCCCTTTTCCCTACACCCTCCCCAGCATCTGTTGTCTCTTGTCTTTCTGATGATGTCCAGGCTGAAAGGCACGCGGTGAGGTCTCAGTGTGGTTTTAATTTGCATTTCCCTAATGACTAATGATGTTGAACATTTTTTCATGTACTGTGGGCTTTTCATGTTATTTTCTTTGGAGAACTGTCTATTTGGGTCCTTCGCCCATTTTTTCATCAGGTAACCTGGTGTGTTTTGTTTTGTTTTGTTTCTTTGTATTGAGTTGTATGAGTTCTTCGTATATTTTGGATATTAACCCTTTATCAGATACAAGGTTTGCAAAGAGTTTTTCCCATTCCTTAGATTACCTCTTCCCTATTCCTTTTTTTTTTTTTTTAAGATTTTTATTTATTTATTTGAGAGAGAAAGAGAGTGAGAGAGAGAGAGCACGAGAGTGAGGTGAGGAGCAGAGGGAGAAGCAGACTCCCCGCTGAGCAGGGAGCCCAATGTGGGATTCGATCCTGGGACTTTGAGATCATGACCTGAGCCGAAGGCAGATGGTCAACCGACTGAACCACCCAGGCACCCCTCTCTTCCCTATTCTTAAAGAAGGTTCTGAATGGAAAGCAAAAGTTAAAGCTATTAGAACCAATGAGAAAAAAAATTAAAAACAGGATTTGTTTTGCCTGGAAAAAGCTGCAGGAGAATTTTACTGTGGCCTTCAAATCACAGTTTCAAGCTACTTATTTAATCCAGCAACAATTTATGGAGAGCTTATTATGAGTTAGATATTATGCAGAATGCTATAGATAACAAGGATGAATAAAAGAGATACTGATTTTTGAAGAGCTTCCAATCTTGTGTGGGAGAAAAACAGGTACGTTTAGGCCACCCTGAGGTCACAAAACAGCCCTTAAAGCTATCCTGTCTTCACTTCACTGCCTGCTCAGCTTAGATCCCATGATCCATCCTGTCTACGTGCTGAACCCTCTTGCCCTCCCACCCCACCTGCCACACAACACTCCAACTCCAAACCCAACTCCCCACTTCTCTAGGCCTTTATGACAGATGTGGAGGACTGATAAAGATACATGGACACCAGGGAGAACTGGTCCTAACTCAACTGGCTGGTCAATGGTACCCGGCAATCCTGTTAGCCTTGTATGATTCAGACACCAATTCTAATGCGTGTTTTTCCCCCACACCATCCTGCAATTCTGACACCCCCTGGGTGTCCCACAGTTCAACACAGTTCTGACACCATCGACCTGAGATAGTGTCAGATCCCACAAGTTAAGGGCTGAGTCCTATGAGACTGCCCACTCCCCACCCCCCACTTCACATGCTAGTCCAGGTTGTCACCTGCGCTTCTGACCTCATGGCTAAATCAGAGGGTCCTCCAACCTCCTCCTTCTCTGTTTTGATTAATTTGCTAGAGTGGCTCACAGAACTGAGAGAAACATTTTACTTAGTAGATCATCAGTGTATTATAAGAGGATATAACTCAGGAAAAGCCAAATGGAAGGGATGTATAGGGCATGGTATGTGGGAAGGGGGGGCGGAGCTTCCAGGCTCTCTGAGCGCACCCCTCTGCCAAAACCTCCAACTTGGAAGCTCTCTGATCCTGGTCCTTTTGCGGTTTTAGGGAAGCATCATTACACAGGTCTGATTTAAAAAAATTATTGGCCATTGGCAATCAATTCCACTTCTGGCCCCTCTCCCGTTCCCAGGGGGTTGAAACTTTATCACAGGGTTGGTTCCCTGGCAAACAGCCCTCATCTTTAGGTTCCAAAAGTCACTCATTAACATAAGCTCAGGTGTGATTGAAAGGGGTTTGTTATGAATATAAAGATGCCTTTATCTGTCTGATCACTTAGAAGTTCCAAGGGTCTGGGGAGCTCTTTGCCAGGCAGAGGGACAAAGAACAAACATTTATTTCTTACTATAAATCACAGTATCACACCCAAACAAGTCATCCTATCCTTCTCCCGCGGACTTTAAAAAACTGCCTCCAACCAAAGGAGCCCCTCGTGCAGTGTCGGTGGGAATGGAAACTGGTGCAGCCACTGTGGAAAACAGTTTGGAGGCTCTTCAAAAAATTAAAACTAGAATTACCATATGATCCAGTAATTCTACTATTGGGTATTTCCCCAAAGAAAACAAAAACTCTAATTTGAAAAGATATATGCAGCCTTGTGTTTCTTGCAGCCTTATCTACAATAGCCTGGTATGGAATATCACTCAGCCATAAAAAAGAATGAGATCTCGCCATTTGCAAAAGCATGGATGGAGCTAGAGTATATAATGCTAAGCGAAACCAGTCAGAGAAAGACAAATACCATATGACTTCGCTCATGTGGAATTTAAGAAACAAAATGAACAAAGAAAAAAGGAGACAAACAAAAAACCAGACTCTCAAGGACACAGGACAAACTGGTGGTCGCCCTCCTACCTCTCTGGCCATTGCTTTTGGTCTCCTTTGCTTGTTCCTGCTCTCCCTGTCCTACCTACCTTCTTGACTGTGTGAGTCTCAAGGTTGTGCCTGAGCCATCCGTTCTTTTTCTGGACCATTCCCCCAGGTAGTCCTGTTCTCTCCCATGGTTCTAAATACCATTTATATGCCAGGGTCTCCTAAACGGACATCCCCAGCCCTATTCTCTCCTAGGCTCGGACTCGCAAAGCCAACTGCCCTCTGAACATCTTCACTGTGATGTCTTGCTCGCCAATCCTGCCCTGCCCATCTTCTTTCCCCTGAGACTGTTCCTCCCCCAAATGTCCCCTCTCAGCAGATGGTCAAACCACTGCCAAGTTTGGGAATTCGACCCCAAACTTTCAGGACTCATTCTTGAGTCTTCGTTCTCCCTCTGTCCTCACAGCCATCAAACTCTAAAGCTTGCCAAGTAAATCCTAAATATATCTCAAGTCCATTTACTCGTGCCCATTTCTGTTGCTACAGCTCTAAACCCAGCCTGTCTCTTTTCCCTGGAGCGCTGGAACAGCCTCCTGACGGGGCTCCCAGCATCTGTTCTCCTATCCCCTCCATGTCCTCGTCTCGACATCCATGCCGTGGTCAGAGCGACTTTTCTAAGGTATAAATCTGATCATGTCCCTGCGCTGAGTCAACCCTCCAACTGCTTGCAGGGTAGACATGAATTCCTCACTGTGGCTTCCAAGGTCTTCCCTGATCCGGCCTTTCTTGACTCAGATGGGACCCTTCTCTCTGTGATCTCTTCTCTCCAGCCACACAGAGCTTTTTATGCTTCCAGGTTCTTAAAAGCACCATGTTCTCTAACTCCCAGCTTTCCTACCACCTACTTTCTCCCCACTTAGAATCTTCCCTTGCCCTCCCCCCAGTGCCCAACTCCTACTCACACTTCAGATTTTTTGCTTAAATCTCATATTTCAGGGAAGCCTTAAACAACTCCTGTAAAGGACTGTAGTGTGGTCCCCACCCCATTCACACGCTGACGCCCTAGCCCCCCAGTGTGACTGTCCTGGCAGAGAGCCTTTAAAGGCGTAAGTAAGGTTAAATGAAGTCATCGGGGTGGGGCCCTAAACCAACTGGACTGTTGCCCTTATAAGGAGAGCAAGAGACCCCAGGGACGTGTACACGCAGAGCAAAGACCACGTGAGGACACAGTGGGAAGGCAGTGGGTCTCCAAGCCAAGAGGAAAGGCCTCGGGAGAGACCAAACCCGCCCACGCCCGGATCTTGCACTTCCAAAACCGTGGAAAGGAAACTGCTGCTGCTTAGTGGTATGTTGTTACAGCAGCCCAATCAGACTAACACAACTTGTAACCTGAGTTAGTGTCTCTCTTTTTTTTTTTTTTTTAAGATTTTATTTATTTATTTGAGAGAGAGAATGAGACAGAGAGAGAGAGCATAGAACATGAGAGGGGGGAGGATCAGAGGGAGAAGCAGACTCCGTGCTGAGCAGGGAGCCCGATGCGGGACTCGATCCCGGGACTCCAGGATCATGACCTGAGCCGAAGGCAGTCGCTTAACCGACTGAGCCACCCAGGCGCCCCGAGTTAGTGTCTCTTGTACTTTGCCAATCTCTCTTCGTATCACATGTCACACTGGAGATTACTTGTTTCGCACTGGCTCTCTGCACCGGGCTGTAGACACCAGGAAGAAAGCTAATTCTTGGTGATCGTTACTGAGGTCTCCAGAGCCTAGCACAACTAGATACATAGCCAGAGCCCAGGAAATGAGTACCTAGAACCTATATGCGTGGCTACACAAATTTAAACTAATTATTAATGAAATGCAATTAGAAACTCAGTTCCTGGGTAGCACCAGCCACCTTTCAAAGGCTCACGGCTGCGTGCAGTTACCGGTGGCCACAGTGGCCAGTGTAGACTGTAGGGCATTTCCAGCACCACAGAGAGTTCTATGGGCCAGTATTGGTATATATGGCACCCAAAGGAACTTTGAGCCTGAATGAAAGTGAGCCAGGTAAAGAAAGATGGGGAGGCAGAGGGAACAACAACGGCAACGTGCAGAGCGTGAACCATCGGGGGACGTGTGGGGAACTAGAAGCAGTCTGCTGCCATTCGCTCGAGTGTGAGGTAGGGAGAGGCGAGAGGTAAGGACAAGGTCAGGGGAGGACTTAAGTCCTGAGGAGAGCTTGAAGTTTATTGTGGCTGCGGAGAGGATCCAAGCAGAGAAGTGTCTGGGTCAGATTTGCATTTTAGATACATTACTCTGTGGGGAGCGTAAGCCTGGAGGCAGGAACAACAATCAGGGGGTTGTTGAAATAGTCTGGGTCAGAGAACCAGAACAAAGGGAGGGGCGGGGAGGACCGAGCGGGAGAAAGAGCTAAACTTGACGGCTGATTGAATGTAGGCTGAGAGCTGGCAGGAGTCCAGGGTGACTTGTAAACTTCCAAGCCCTGGTGCCACCCGGCAAGACTAGCATGAAGGGGAAGGTGGGAGAAGCAGGTTTTACTGGGGAGGAGGAGGACGGGGTAGAGCAATGATCAACTGGCTTTTGGACCCACGGAGTTTGCGGTGCCTGTGGGGTACAATGGACAGACAGCTGTCAGGGTCTGGGGCTCAGCAGAGAAGGCTGGGCGGCCAACAGGGATGTGGGGGTGGTGAGTAAACAGGCTGTAGGAAAAATCACGTGCCTGGACTAGACCACCTGCAGAGGACGGTGAGCGGCAGGCTGGCCAAGGCCAGAAGTCCGCAGAATAACATTCAGGGATGGGGGGGGGGGGCGTGGATGGACACAGGGAACAGATTGTGGATGTGTCTTGTATCAAGTGACCCCAACTATTTTTAAAACCAGTTTAATTCTTTGGACCCATACAGCCTGCTGGAAGGAGCAATTTCAACATATTTCTATTTGATATGTAAGGTTGGTTTGATTGTTGGTTTGCTTGTTTCCATCACCACACAAGCTCCCTGAAGTCTGAATAGGAAACCGGCTGCTTTGGAATCTCTTGCATGGGATTTGTGGGATCAGAGGATGTCCTTTGAGATCCCACCTGTCTGAGCTGGGGAAGGAGGGGTCTTCCTGCCTAGAGGCGGAGAGACAGGATTATGACAACCATGAACCGTCCATGTAATTAGACAGACCCTGAGGGAAGGCCATTTGATTTTGCCTCTGCAGCTCAAAATCAGAAATGGCTCTGCCCTAAAACAAGAGGGATTCTACGCTGATCAGCGAGGTTCCTAAATGATCTCGAAGGGAACAGCTAGGCTCCTTCGACGTGAATTCTACATGGAAGGGGATAAAATATGGAGGAGAGCCGTCAGCCTCAATTCCAACCAGAATGTTAACGGCTTCTCCGATACCAATTAGCAGCCACAAAATACCACCCCGGGCTCTAATATTACTTGCTTCTCAATACCCTTTCTGTTTAATTTCAATTACATTTTCTCTTAGAGTCATAAACCTATCAGGCAGCCCAGGAACTAACTTAGAGTGATCATTTCTCTCCAGTCACTCCACCTCGCAAGCATAGAATTTAATTTGTTTATGATTTACTGGTACTTACTGATTTCATCCACATTTTTAAGAAATTTCTGCAAATCTTTCTCGTGATCGTCAGCCATTGTCAACCAGAATACCTGGGGGAGGCAGCATAAGTGATGAAAATTAATAATAATAAAACACTAAGCAGAATATGTCAGGCTCATTAGCCTTCTAAAACTAAGAGCCAAGTGATTATTTTTAAGATGGATTTGTGTTCATAAATGTCACGAATAACAGCAGGGTGATCTATGTCACTCTGACTGCTATTAAGGCCAAGGGATACTCATTATTTGTGGTGATACTTCTGGAAGCTGTCAGCCCTCCCTTCACTGGGAGAACTGCTCTGCAAAATGTTCCTCCAAAGCCAACATCCACCGCTGTGATTCAGGGACCTGGAGTAAAGGAGGCCAGGAGGCCAGAAGCTGACAGGCTGGCAGGAATGGAGGAGGACACGAACGCTTGACTTTGATCATGATAGGCCCGCCCGGCCAGAAGCCTGGATCTGGCTGTGTGACTGGTCACCAGGAGCCGGAGAATTTGCATTTAACTGTTCAAACTTGTTTAATCTGAGGACTGAAGAGGAGCTAAACATTGACTGAAGGGATCAGAACTTGATGGCACTGTGCACCAGCATCTCTTCTCCTCTCCAGGTACTTTAGGTTTATTACTTCTCAGTGGTTTGTGAGTAAACAGGCCTCACTGTATACCCAGGGGTTCCCGAAGTTCACCCACAGGGCATAAAAGCCATCCGAAAACTCGTTAAATATACAGACTCCTCAGCTTTAGCGCCAAAGCTTCTCGGTCAACCTGCCAGGGTGCCCGGGAAAGGACAGTTTTAAAACTCTCCCGGGGTTTTTTCTGACTTACGGCTAGGTTTAGTAGTAGTGCAGTCGTGTAAGCACCTCTCACTGGAAATTTGAGCCCTGCCACAAACGAGGTGGGAGTTATTTGACTCTGAGACTCTACCAGTTACAAGCTGTGCGACCTCAGCTAAAGTCACCAACCTCTCCGCGCCTCATTCTATGGAAATGGTAATACGAACCGAGAGGGCTCCCCGGGGGTTAACTGAAAGCACCAGGCACGCAAAGAGTGGTAAATGCGAGGCACCCTTATCTACAAAACGGGGGCGGGGACGTGTGGCTTAACTAAATGAGCGACAGGGTACCTTCCGGCTCTAACATATTAAGGCTCCCACGGAACTGAGGCCTAGTGAAGCGAGTTGACTTGCCCAAGTTTGCCGGGGCACAAGGAAGGCGCAGCACTTGCCCGGGCAGGCGCAGGGGTATAAGGATGCGCGGCCCGCGCCGAACCCACCGCGGGGCAGGAGATGCACTCCTGCGAGCTCGGGACCCGCGGCGCGCCAGCGGGAGCTCCGCGACCAGCTCGCCTGGACTCCCCGCCCCGCCCGGCGCAGAGGGGCGGGGCCGACGGCACCGTTGCCCGGCAACCACTCCGCAGCGTCCAGCGGTTCCCGTGCCCAAAGCGGAGGACCCAGCCCGCGGCCGATACCGTCCCATCTGCTGGGGCCCACACCAGTGTCCTCTCCTCGGCGCTAACGGCCAGATCAGGACCACATCCCGGGGCAGACCCCGGGCCACCCCGCCGCACTGACCTGACACGCCCAGGGCCGGACAGGAAATGGCGGCTGTGGGCGGGCAGTGACGGACTGGGGGGCGTGACCAACGGCGGGGCGTGGCCAAGGATCGGGGCGGGGCTAGGGCTGGGAGTGGGCGGGGCCCCGAAGCGCAGGTTCTGGAGCTGGCGCGCCGCCGCTAGATCTTAGCGGAGCTGGGGCCCTGGCCGAGGGTGGGGAGCAGAAGCTCCGAGTGACCCGTGCTGGTCCCTGAGTCAGCGCCAGGTTTTCGCCTCTTTCTAATAAGGAGGGGGTATCACTCCCATTAGCTTACTATCCCCGGCCCAAAAAGGGGACAACCTTCAGTGTACTTGGGAGGGACAGGCTTGGGTGTGAATCCGGTTTTGCTTATTGGTAAATGTGAGACCTTCGGAGAGTTATGTAACCCTCTGATCTTCAGTTTCCTCATTTATAAACTGAAGTAATGGCACGTAAGGTTTATGGTTAAAGTGCCAGGCATTTAGTCAGTAGGAACATGGTAGTTTTTATCCAGGGAATCATAGGATTTGGAGCAGAATGAGACGGTGGACACATGCACACTTTGAATACATCCACACAGTTTTAAAGAGATTCCAGTCTGTTTTTTTTTAAAACAAAGGTTCAGTGTTATGTGCTGGGTTAAAAGGGGAGAAAAGCAGGTTTGGGGAAAGTTCCAACTTGAGCTTAAGCTGATGTTCAGAAACACTTGGGACTTCTTGGCAAATTTGTGAGTGTGTTTCAGAAGCCTGTTTGGTTGGGGCTGAGGAACCCCCCGGGGTTAAAACTTACCAGGCGGGGAGAGGGGTCCAGGCATGGCTGGCTAGATCCAACATTGGTTGAGTACAGTCTGTGGACTCTGTCCTGTGGGCTAGAGCTGGAGAACAGGGGGCTGCTTGACTGAGATCTCCAGAATGGTACACATCACTCCTGCTTGGGAACGCCCCGAGTGGAGTAGAGCACAAAGGGGCCACGGTGTTCTCTTGGCAGCTGAGCAGGTGCAGCTGCAGTCGGGTCCTGCTGTCAGCTGCAGCAGGAGGCAGTGGGCCCTGGGGGGACCCAGGAGTATAGGCACAGCAGCTGAGTCTCAGTCCCCAGGGACTGAGATGGCTCCTGAGAAGTAGCAGAGTGGAGGTGTCTGGCAGAGCAGGGTGGCTTCGCCAGCCACACCCTGGAAATTCTCAGAAAGACATGGGTTACTTTACAGTGACCGTGGAGCCTGTGGGAACTGATGGAGACAAGAACCAGTGACGGGTTACTGCTGTTGCTATCACCCTGTTTCCCCCTGAGGCTGAGAGCTCTTGAGCACACACAGGCATAGTCTCCAACCTCAGGCTCCTTTTGTCACTTTGCGGCTGACATTCTTAATTCCAAATCACTTACTTCCTATTCAGCACACTCCTGTCCTGGACTCCAGAGGCGCCTGCCCACCACCATTCATTCACACATTCATGTGCCAGTTGTGGGCGGTCTACAGCGTGTCAGGTGCTGTGGAAAGCCCCCGGGTGCACTTGACAAATGACAAATATTTATCATGCGTTGAATGATCAGGGGCTCTAGAACCAGTCTGCATGTGCTCAAATCTCAGCTCTCCACTTCTTAGCATCTATTAAAATATTGTCAAGCACCTCCATGCACATTTACTGAGCTAGTGCTGGAGAGCTTTCTCTCTTCCCTACTTCTACTATTACTAGCTGTGTGACCTTGTCAAGGTACTTAATCTCTCCATGTCTTAGTTTCCTCACCTGAAAAAAATGAGGATGTTAAGTAGTATCGATCTTACAGGACTGCTGTGAGAGGCACATGAGTTAATACAGGAGGAGTGTCTAGACAATGCATGGAGCACCAGGAAATGTTATTAACTGTTATTACTACTGCTATGATTTATATGCATTAGACCAGAGCTTCAGAACCTGGACCATGCATAAGAATTACCTGGGGATCTTGGGGCGCCTGGGTGGCTCAGTCGTTAAGCGTCTGCCTTCGGCTCAGGTCATGATCCCAGGGTCCTGGGATCGAGCCCTGCATCGGGCTCCCTGCTCGGCGGGAAGCCTGCTTCTCCCTCTCCCACTCCCCCTGCTTGTGTTCCTGCTGTCGCTATCTCTGTCTCTGTCAAATAGATAAATAAAATCTTTAAAAAAAAAAAAAAGAATTACCTGGGGATCTTGTTAAGTTGCAGATTTGGATTCAGCAGGACTGGGTTCTGAGATTCTGCAGTGATGCCTCTTTGTGGACTGTGGGTCACATGGATTAGCACATGAATAATCTTTTCTTTATGTTAGAAGTTATTTTTATAGTTAGGAGTTATTTTTTTTTCTCCTTGGAGTCCTATTTCCATTTGACGCCCCCCCCCCATACTCAGAATACTACCCTAATACAGGATATTTTTTTTTTAAAGATTTATTTATTTATTTGAGAGAGCGAGAATGAGAGAGAGTACATGAGAGGGGGGAGGGTCAGAGGGAGAAGCAGGCTTCCCGCCGAGCGGGGAGCCCGATGCGGGACTCGATCCCGGGAC